AACTCCAAATTATCGGTGGCTTAAAGGCACCAAAGTTTATTTCTCATTCATGCCACACGTCCATTGAGAGTTAGCAGGAGGCCTGCGGAGTCAGGCTCGGGGGCTGTTCTTCATAAACATTCAGGGGTCCAGGTGGATAAAGCAGCCACCAGCTTGAATATCACTGGTAGCCACGCCAGAGAAAAAGGAAAACGCCAGATCATCAGATTCAATCAACGCTCTGCAAACAAAGCTGTCCTGATAAGTAAGTCTCCAATCTCCCTCATTCATCTCATCCTTAGGAAGTGGGAAAGTGAGCAGCCTTCCCCCTTTTCCCATTACCGAATGGACAGTCTCCTGAGGGTCAGGGGCAGAGCTGGAAGGACCAAGAGGATTCGAAGTTTCCAGAAGCCCCGGAAGAGTGCTGGCATTCACACCAAAGCAGTTCACCAGCAGTTTTGGCATTGGTGATCGGCTCGCGGGGCCAGCAAGCCAGCCAGAATGCTTTTCTAATAAACACTGAGTCAGGTTCAACGAGAAAGTGTTGCCAAAAAACAGTGCACTCACAACAGTAACCTCATATGTAATTCATCACGGGGCTCGTGTTAGAGGGACCCTCAGTTTGAATCTGATATTATCAATTTGACTAGACAATTGTCTGGTTAACCGGAGGCTGGTCCCTCAACATGTACAGGGAGGTGGAAGCTCTCCTTCCAAGTTCCACTGACCAGCAGCTGTCCTGACCTCCCAGCCTAACAGACGTAGAATTGCTGAATCTCTTACAACGATTCAGTATGAAATGAGAGAAAAATTGGCTTGGGGGGTTCAAAACATTTTGATTTCTAAGTGACATCAGGGTGAACTCTACTTGTGTTTCCCAGTCCACCATAATCATGACTAATAGCACTGGAGCCCTTTCTCATGACACCCAATGGAAAAAAAAATACCGTTTTATGACCTCATCCGCCCCCTGGGCTGTCGCCCTCCAGTTCCAGGCCTTAGCTTCTCCAAAGGCTGGTCCCTTTACCGACTGCCCGCACTCACACTTCAGCACAACTTTTACCTGAAACGTCTCTCACCAGTGACTTCCTAACTGCCAACTCCAACAGCTTCCTTTCCGGCTAGATTCTCTGCATCACCGCCTATCACGGGATTAGCCTGCGGCTAAAGAAATAGGCTTCAGGAGCATCAGACCCTGAATCCTGGGTCCACTCTTATGAGCAGTCGGACGTGAACTATGACATCTAGGTCCCCTTATCAGAAAGTGGGGGGCAACACGTGGGCTTCTTGTGAGGATTAAATAGAATACTCTACATCAGCCATCCGGCAGCACCGGGACACAAGGCCAGTTCTCACTACCGGGTCACTGGTTTCATTAAAGGTGGTGGTGGTGGTGGTAATCACAGCTTCCTTCTGGACACTCCTCTCTCCTGTGGCTTCCGTGATACTTTATTTCCTGCTCTTCATTTTTAAAACTTCGATGACATCTCGTGCAATGCACCAAACCTTCCAATCTCCTTCCCCTGTGTCCCCACTGGCAGAAAGTTGTTCAAAGCCACATCAGCTCTCACCGGGTTATTGCAACGGAATTTGGGGAAACGTGCCACATGGGAATATCTTCCTTCACTTCAGACGATTCTTCCCACTCGCACAATTCAGGAGCAAAACACTCTAAAAACTTCCAAACGTGGCATTCTCCTGATCCAAACCTTTTAAGGATTTCCTGAAACAAGTGTGAAGACAGCTGCCTTTGTGGTCCCTCCCTTGGAAGGGCATCCTTTGAGACGCCCTTCAATTGTTCTCTCCTAAGTGTAACCTAGGACGCACCTACGCATCCTCCCTGGATTTCGCCCAAATTGCTATATTCTACATAGTTTGTGGTTGTGGGTGTGGAATGGTTTTAGACTTCATTTAAGGTGAAGTTATTCTATTTTGGGTTTTATTAGTTAGGAAGCTTTCAGCTGCAAGTAACCCCCATTCAACTGGCTACATCAAGAAGTCTGGAGGTTGAGTGGCTTCAAGGTTGGTTTATTCAACAATGTCATCAGGAACCTGAGTTCTTGGCTTGTTTCTATACCCGTATCTTCAGAGGGCCAGCTTGATCCCTGTGGCCGCGAGGGATCACAACCAGACAGAGCACTCTCCAGTAGACGGGACCCAGCGAAGCGTTATAATCTCCATTTCATAGATAAGGAAATGTAGGCTCAGACAGGTCAAGTGACTTTCCCCAAGTCACACAGCTATTAGCAGTAGAAACAGGATTTGAACTCAGGTTTATCTGGCTCCAAAGTCCATGCTCACAAATGCAGGTTCTACTCCCCCCCAAGCCTGAGAGCAATGACTTTGCCCTGGAAGTTCAAGAGCAGGATTTACAAGGCTAATGTTTTACTCACACCCTATGAGTTTACCGGCCACTGACTAACGTCCTGAAAGAAAAGAACATTTAGGAACACTGATGGTTAGAGACTTGGACGTCTATCGTTAATCACGGTCAGCCCTAGTCACAATTCCCAACAAATGCTGATATCAAAGGAGCAGGCGGAGGAAGAACTGAGGTCAAGGGCAGCCAACACAGCTGCAGGCGGATGGTGAGGAAGCTGAAACCAGGTGTTTCCCAGCTACAGTGAAAATGGCTCTGCTGGGCTTCTCCATAAGGCTCGGGGCATTTCAAGAGCTCTCAGAAGGGCGAGATCACACAGACCTGAGGATCTGGCTCGGCGGACAGAGGAGATGCACCTGAAAGACCCCCCTTCCTCCCCCGCTTTCCCCCCCACCCTTCACACCGCCTGTCCCTCCACAGTCCTGGGCCAGGGAAGGACCGCGGGTGCCAGAGGGGATGAAAGATGAACAGCTGCATCTTCGCTGGGGCTGCACTTCGACTGCACCCGTGACTGCGACGGGCTGATCCCCTCCCTCCCTTCCACCCTTTGATTCTTCCAGGCGGTCTCTCCCTGATAAGGCGCTCGGTTCAAAGATGCTCTCTTCTCTCCCGCCGGACAGAGGCCACGTGCTGGGTAGCTGAGGGGCTGCAGAGGCAGCAGGAGCTGCGTAGTAGTAGTCGTAGTCGGGGGAGAGATGCAGGAAGGACTGATGGGCGGAGCCCCGTGGGGCAGACCCCCAGCAGGGCTTCTGACCACACATGAGGCCGGGGATAGAGCCCAGCCCTGCGTGGGGAAAAGGCCCAGACGGGAGGCAGAGCCCCACCAAGCACGGCAAGGGTTTGCTGGGCCTCTGGGGTGCTGACCTCTTGACTCAGAAACAAACTTCCCATTTATGGTTTGAGGACTGAGAAAAAGATACCTCTCACATCGTGACAAAATAAGCACCACTCTGTGCTTCTCTGAAATACTGTAAAACCTGTTAAGTCCCTACGGAGTAGGAGAGGTGCCTGTCTGATTAGCAAACAGGTAGGTATTATGGAATATTTTTAAAGAAATGTTTTATCACTTGCAAGAAAGGTACTAAAACCATATCATATCCATAAATCGTGTTACTTGTTGCTTCTTATTGTAAAAGCAAATACAGTGTGATGCAGAGGAGGGAGCCGGGAGTGTGGGAGGGAGGGTCCCTGAGCACGAAAGATTTATGTTAGTTGAGGAGCTGGAACATCGATCATAAACTGTTAGTCAATTAAATCCACCTGTTATATACTGGTATAATAAAGGGGCAAAATGTGTGATACAGAGCAGAATCAAAGAAGGTCTGAGTAGCTGGCGGTCGAGGCTGGCTCAGTGGATGAGGAGACTTTTCCTGGTGTGGACTTTCTGAAAGGAGACCCTAATCTGAGAATGACGGACCCTCAGAGGTTCCATGGCAAGGATCTGCAGGCTGTCTACGAGCAGAATTTGCAGCATTACGTGCAAATGTAGTGCCTGTATGTCTCTTGCTGGGAAGGTTTCTATCTTTTATGCACCTCCTGCACCCAGATTAGTTAAAGAATGAATGAATTACAAAAATAAAGGAAAGCTTGGGGGGCTGGAGAGAAGAGAGAGGAATCCTTGGAAGGAACAGGGTATCCCTGTTACAAAGTATACAATGATGAGCGCGGATCTGAGGTGGGACCGGAGGGGAGGGTGGGGACAGAGAGTAGAAAGTGTGAGGTGAGTGTGGATTATACAACAGTCTGTAGAACTTCGACTTGAGTGTTATAAGTACTGGGCAGTGACATGATGAAATCAGTGTTTATGGACGCTAAATAGAATTATAGTAAGCAAGATGGATGGACAGGAGAGAAGGGAGCTCATAGGTGCAACCAAATGGAACTGCTAAACTGTAAAATTTGTTTCTCTAAAATGATGGGGTAACTCTTAATTATTTTTTGACTTATAAATTTGACTTATAATTATTTTTTGACTTTGACTTCCAGCACAACTGCATGCTGGAAAAGGTGCCCCTGACCCTACCCTAACCCTGTGATTTTGCGGAGCATCCTAATGGCTTTGGGTCTGCGCAACAGTCACCAAGCAAGCTGTCGTGTCTCAGCTCCAAATGCTCCTTCTGTGCCCTGCTCCAAGACGCTGGGGTCGGATGCTGCCAAACCCCTCTCTGCCGGGCCATCTGCTTTGTGTTAGCTTCCACCCGGAGGGGACTCAGGAGGGAGACGGCAGGACTGGGGAGGAGGGGCTCATCCCTTCCTGTCTGTTTCCTGCTCCTGCGGGCATCACCCTGGTACCGCGACTTCTCTGCAGCCACGGCAGTTCCTTCCCGGAGCAGAGGCTGAGCCCCGTGGGCGATCTTTCCAGCACTGGTGGAGCCAGCTTCATCACGTCCCAGCCTCAGAGACACCAGCTCTCCAAGGCCCGCCTTCAAGCTTCTACGTTTTTGTAATTCCAAGTCCTTCCCTTTGCTCTCCCAGAGTCCTCGGGGTGGTAGCTGCCCCCTGCAACTGCTACCTCTGGGATGGCTTCACATACCCTCTGCCATTTCAGCTAACTCGTTCATAACCTATTCTAGTCACCAATTCCTTGTAATTCATTTCTCTTCATTAGAATCACAGGTGTGCCTCCTGCCTGGACCCTGAGTCAAGCCTGGGCGTTCTGGTTAGAAGAGTACCGAATCGCTGTGCATCGTACAGGGGGCAGAGAGCAAAGCGCCCAGGGCAGGGGGGCTGCGGACCCAGCTGGCAGGCAGCCCGGAGGGGGCCTGCGGGGGAAGACCTGGGAGGAGCACTCCGAACGCCCTGCCTGCATCTTTCCTTCCAGACCTCGGTGAAATCTACCCACAGCACAGTGTGAAGAGAGTTCTAAGCGCTGTTAGTCTTGAAGATCCTTTGGGAAAAGCTTAGAGACTCACACGATACCAGGTATCATCGTGCGCATGTTCACACTTCTGGGAACTAATGGGGATCCTCGGCACAGCTGTGGAGGAAAAGCCAAATGAGACTTTCATGAGCAGAGTGATGTTTTAGTCCTGCAAGCCTTCAAGGCAACAACTACCCAAGAATTCCTGGAAGTCCTATCACTTTCCTACTAAAGAAAAAAAATTTTCCTCTCCCTCTGTTTACTTCGAGACCGAAAAAGGTGGCATCATCGCTAGTGACTTGCCCATCGGCGTGGGTCACGTTGAAGGAGAATTTTTATTTCTTTTGGTCAGAGATGAAAGATTGTAAAGACAAAACAAAACAAAACAAAAACGTTTTAATTTTATTCCTCCTAAGGATATTACAGCTCACAAAATCTCTTGTAACTTCTTATAGCGTCCATTTTACTATCCAAGGAGACCGTTTATTGGGTTTATTTCTTCTTACGCTACCTCTCAGCTTCCATAAGTGATGTCTTTGACTTGGCGTAAGCTCTTCCAGACCTTATTATCATTTAGCTCTGTGTCAGGAAGTCCAGGATGTGGCTTTTGATGAAGTGTGCTCAAAGGCAAAACCACAGAGAGGGGGTGATTTGGGCCTTTGTAGGGGGCGGCCTGCCTGAGGGAAGCTCGTTAGTCTCTCAGCTCTTTGCTCCCCATCCTAACACTTGTCTTTAAGGAGTCATTACTGGCCCCCTGGTACTCTACTCCTAGACCAGGCAGAAGAAATATATAGGGATCAAAGCTCATAGTAACAGCCACAACAATTTTAAAAGCCAATTTGTTAAAACAAATTAAAAATATAGCTTTTTTCCCCTTCCTCACTCCTGGAAGTGCGTTTCCATTTCCACTGAGTTAGTAAAGCAGTTTGATGCACACAGGCCTGCTAAGCTCTCTGCCACGCTCACCATTATTAACGCCTAACATCTGTAGCCTTTATTCTGATGGGCCGGGCATTGTGCTAAGCACTTTACATACGTGATCTCTCGTCTAACCCTCCCAAAAACACCCAGAGTGAGGTATTCTTGTCCACATTACACAAACGAGGAGATAAAACTTCCCAAGTTTCCTTAGCTACCAAATAGCAGAGCTAATGTGTAACCCAGGTCTGTTAGATTCTGCAGCTCATGTCCTCACCCAACGGTATAAAGACAATATGTTCCTGGTTGTATAATTGTATAACCAGTTCCATGCAGGGCACAGTTTGGTGTTACATTCCACTTAGGAAGCAGAAAACCCATGAAGACGGACTCTGTTTGGCTTGAGGTGCTGGAAATCACTGTGGAAATTCAGCTCACAGAGCTCTGTGCTGGGCTGTAGGAAGGCGTGACTGAAGGGAAGGGTTTGTAGGCGCCCCGGAGTCTTCACACACCCTGGGCTCCGTCCCACAGTGGACTAGGGTTGGGGCCTTTAGAAATTCACAAAGTGGATTTTTTTTTTTTTAGTGATAAAACTAGCTGGTGAAAAAATGAGAAGCACAGTCATTCATTCAATAAAGCCTTATTGAGCATCTACTATGTACCAGTGACTATGCTAAGCATACAGCAATGAACAAGGTGGATCCCTGCCCACAGAGCTTCCCTCGGTTCACCCTGGGGAGTCTGAAGGGGTGAGGGAGCTGTCCACATGCTGAACAAGGCAGCAGGCTGAGGGAGGGTCCCTAACATGAGGAGAGACTAATAAAAACAAAATACCTTTACTCTTTGACATGCAAAATTGCATCCAGAAGTTTAAGGAAATGAACAGCAGAGATGTACCGAATATAGAGATGCAAAATTGTCGTTCACACAATCATTGATAATAGCAAACATTTGAAAAACAACTCAAATGACCAGCCAGATGACAAATGACCAGAGAGCCTGAACAGATTTAATCACATGGATATTTGTTTAAGATGACAGGGGTGACATTGACAATCAGTGGGGAAAGGTAAAGTGATACAGATATCACTGTTTACCCCTACTGGAAAAAAATGAAACTGGATCTCAACCTCACACCATTCATAACAAAACACTTCCTGGTGGCCTATAGACTCGAATGTGAAAGACAAAACTTTACAATCTTAAAAGAAAATAAAGAGAAATATCTTTATGGCTTCAAAGTAGCAGGAGGGGTTTTCTTAAGACACCAAAATTCCCAACCTTAGAGAAAAGTACTAAGTTTCGCTTCATTAAAATCATGGATTTCTTTTCATGAACCCATCCCTTAAAGGGCTTCCCTGGTGGCGCAGTGGTTGAGAGTCCACCTGCCGATGCAGGGGACACGGGTTCGTGCCCCAGTCCGGGAGGATCCCACATGCCGCGGAGCGGCTGGGCCCGTGAGCCATGGCCGCTGAGCCTGCGCGTCCGGAGCCTGTGCTCCGCAACGGGAGAGGCCACAACAGTGAGAGGCCCGCGTACCGCAAAAAAAAAAAAAAAAATCCCTTAAAGAGAGTTGAAAACGCAAGCCACAGACCGGAAGAAAATGTTTGCAATTTATGTAACTGACAGAGAATTCCTCCAAAAAGTTAAGGATAAAACAAACAACCCAACAAGCAAGCAGGCAGGAGACATTAATAGGTATTTTACAAAGGAGAAAATAAATGAGGAATATGAATTAGGGAAACGCAAATTAAGCCGTACAAATGTACCACTTGACAGGGGAACTGAGGTGCCACATGCCCCACGACATGACCCAAAAAAAAGAAAAAATGTACCACTTGACAAACAGTAGGTTGGCAAATTTTTTTTTAAGCTGATAGTCACAGGAGCTCTTACACACTACTTGTGGGAGTGTAATTTGGCATAACTAACCAGGAAAGCAATCTGGCTTAAGCCTGTGAAAGTGGAGGACGCACAGACATCACGACCCGGGGATCCCAGTGGAAGGACGTTCACAGGGAGGCCTGGCTCACAGGCACCACGCACAGGAGCCCCAGCAGGCAGGTGCAAGAATGTTCACAGCCATGTGGACTGGGTCTAATGGTGCCCCCTAAAATCCATGTCCTCCCACAAAGCCTCAGAAGGTGGCCTTATTTGGAAATAATGTAGCTGCAGATGTGGCTATTTAAGTGAAGATGAGGTCCCACCAGATTAGAGCTGGCCCTTGGTCTGAGATGACTGGTGTCCTTATAAGCAGAGGAGAAGCGCTCCGCACGGGAGACGTCTGTGTGAAGACAGAGGCAGACACAGCAAGGAATGCGGGGGGTGGCGCGCAACAGCAAAAGCAGAGAGAAAGGCGGGGAACAGACTCTCCCCTAAGAGTCTTCGGAGACAGCTCAGCCCTGGCGGCACCTTGATCTTGGACTAGCCTCTAGAACCGCGAGAGAATACATTTCTGTTGTCTAAAGCCATGCAGTCTGCATCGTTTGTTACGGCCGCACTAGGAAACTAACACATAGTAGCCAGAAGGTGGAACTAACTTAAATAAACTGTAGAATATTCGTGTAATGGAAAAGCTACACAACTGTGAGAGCAAAGGGATGAGGGCTCCACGCGGCAGCATGGAGGGTGCCTTTCTCTCTTCCCACCACTTGCTGAAATTCTGGTCACTCTCTGAGCTCCATTTCACGTCCTGCCTCTTCCGCGGTGACCAAGGCAGCTGCCGTGTGTTGGCTCCCACTTTGTGCCAGGCATCCCACGTGGCCCTGCTTACCTCATCGCTAACCTCTACAACAATTCTGCGAGGTAGCTACAGTTACAGCCTTGTGAACAGCAGGGAGGCCACACGCTGAGCCACTGAACGCGTAACTCGGGGTCCCCCAGACACCACTGTCCGCGCCATTTCTGCCCCTCAGCTCAGATCCATGAAACGTGCCCCCAGAAGTTCAGCCATCGGGGGTCTGTAGTAATTAACTGGGCTCTTGCTTAACTCCATTTATTCTTCTTAACCTTCCTAGTTTTGCTTTGTAAACGCCTCAGGGCTGGGGACTTCCCTGGTGGTCCAGTGGTTAGGACTCGGCGCTTTCACTGGCGCAACCCTAGTTCAATCCCTCGTCGGGAAAGTAGGATCCCACAAGCTGCCTGGTGCAGCCAAATCAATAAAGAAAAACAAATGCCTCAGGTCTAATTATTTCACTGCTGTCCATCACCTCCACAAAAACAAAGTAAGTACCTTATGCTGCTTCTGTCACTAATATAGGGATAGGAACCCAGCAAACGTCTATCAGTCAAATGTTATGTGAACTCCTACTATTCCAAGCACCCTACCCAGTGGCTGAAGTGAACGGAGCCACTGGGGCTGTGACAGCTAGTCATTCAGTGAGCAAAGGGCCAAAAATGTGGACTGAATGCTACTTTATATATGTCTGGTTTCCCTTCCTGAGGAAATTCTGTGCACACTGCTGACTCGATCGCAAATAGAAATGAGGGTGTTACCAAACACAAGTTTATGTGTCTGACGCACAGGGAGGGCAAACAAACCAAAATGTCGTAGTTTGGAGCAGAGAAAGGTTTATTGCAGGGTCGAGCAGGGAGAACGGGGGGCTCCTGCTGCAGAAACCTGAACTCCTGCATGGTTTTCAGAGAGAAGATTTTATGGGCAAAATTTGGGACCAGGGCTGCAGGGTGTGCATCTTTCTTCAGATTGGTTGGTGGTGAGGTAACAGGGTGGGGCTCCAGGACTCTTGTTCAGCCTGAAGTTACCATCCTCCCCCTGGGTGCGGGCCATAATTCCTGCAGAAGAAACTCAAAGATATCGTTCTGTGTATCCTTTGAGGAGGAACCAGGACCCACTATAGTTCCTTGACTGTTCTTACTTCGCGATTGTTACTTGACCCACTATCGTTCTTCCTCTGTTCCTGCACCCCTTTCCTCCCCTGATTAGCAATTGTTTGAATCTGCCCTTTGGTACTCAAGGAAGGTCTAGGAGGCTGAATGATGCCTATTTCCTACCAAACAAGAAACAGGGACACAGAAAGGATTTGTACCCGGGAGCCCCACAGGGTCCGGCTCGGTTTCCAGGGGACATTCCACCGTCAACAGTAATGGGCCCACTTCCCATCTGAGGGCCAGCTGAGTTTCCACGCTTTCTCTTTGGCATTTGTCTCTGTTGCATGTCAGCAATGGGGCAGAATTAGCAGTTACGAGGTTGCTGGGGTTTACAGGCTGTGACAGATGCAGAATAAATCAGCAAACAAGTTAATATGTATTAAATTACTGCCTTTATCCCCATTATTTCCAAGTCCAGTACTTGTGTGTCCATGTGAAAGCAGTATTTATCCATGACCCTTACCATGAGAGATGATTAAAGCAGAATCGCTCTGAGAATCAACACAGCAGTAAAAGCCAGCATCAAAAGTATTTATTCCCTCTCCAGACCTCCCCCTCAAGTGCCTGGCATAATTGTTACTTGATTTAATGGCTCATCGACCTACAGCAACCATGTGACTGAAAAAGAATTTGGTGGTTTAAGGTTCAAACAGTGCATTTTGTCTTGCACAAAGGTGATTTAGAACTCCTTTTTATCCTGGACTCCTTACGAGAAAATGCAGCTAGCAAGGCCATCAGAGACACGACTAAAAGAATGTGCTTCTTTGACCATGGCGTTCCAAGCTCTCCCAGGAGTAGCAACGACCCCAGGAGCAGCAGTGTCTAGAGGCAAATGTTAGTACAACCCAAACACTGTGCTTTGCGCTGGGGGAGACCTGCTCAATTACCTGCGGAGTGGGCCAGCAGATAGGAAAGTGCCAGCCGTGTGCACAGTCCCACGCTGGGACACCTCTGAGTATGGCAGCACCAAGGGCGTAACCCCAGACCATCTCAAGAACAGGTCCTCCAGGCTTCCCAGGTGTAAGGAAATGGCATGGCTTTGACTAAGATGAACCTGGGTGTAAATTCTGACTCTGCCAATGTCTAGCAATACGGACCTTAACACTTCATTTAAGACCGTCAGAGCATCCATCACCTATGGTGATAATAATGCCTGTCCCGGTGGATTTTTAGGAGGATGGAAAGATAAAATACATGTCAAGACGTGTCACGTGGCGGGTAAGCAAGTGATAAAGCTCCTACTCAACGTCCGGGACAAGCAGTGACTTCCGCTGTTTCCAAGTTCACCTGCTGTTAATTCTGACAAGACTTCCTGACCTTGTTCACAGCACTTTGTTACTTGCCGTTTCCCACGTGACCTCCAAGACTACAGTCATTCCTTTTGTAAATACAACCTCCACGCCCTTCGTAACTTGATGAAAATACCATGAAAACTATTTTTAGGCACCATAATGACATGAAAATTTATGAACTCATTACCTTGAATATCTCAACCCAAGAAGTGGAAACTGTTCAGAAGCCACATGCATATAATATGAATGCAAAAGCATACAACTAGGGCGATTTAGAATTGAACATGTGCTACCCCTAACGTTGACGTTCCTCTCACTTGAGTTTATTCTCCTTGCTTGTTACTTTTGACCTGTGACTGACATCCCTGCTCTAGAAGAATTGAGAACAAAATATGGTGGGTTGAACCCCATGAAATTGCTGGTATTTGGCCAATTTTTGACCCTTTAAGTGGGAATCTCAAACAAGTTCAATCATGATAGAACCATGCCAAGGGTAAAGGAAATCAGAACAGACCTTAAGAAACTGTGGCTGGGCTGTTCCCAAGCCCCGGGAGACTTTGGTTTCCAGATACAACATTGCCGCGTAATTGGTGACGTCCACATCGTGTAGGTCTGGTAAACTTGACATTGTTATCTGGGTTCTCTCTCCCCAGCAGTAGGGCAGGTGCTGACCGACCAGATGCATAATTATGACTGCAATAAAAGGGACGATGGAGGGGGTAAAACCATTAGCGCCACAACCAGACAGACCGAGGACAGCAGGCTAGGTTTGCAGAGTCCTTACAACCCACCCTCTTGTGGACACGGTACCTTCTCAGGGAACTGTGGTCCCATCCAGAAGCTAATGACATTAATCATTAGCCAACTTAGAAAGGTTAATGGGCAGTTTCAGTGAGAGGAATATTTTTATGAAGCTGGTGTTCCTGGGACTGAGGACACAAGATACATAAGAGGGCAGGAGTGTGACATCGCCAGTAACAAGGCCCTCCGCCCACCTCACCCCAGACGTGGGACATGCTGGCTCCTCGAGGTGACTCCTCCAGGGACTTCAGGGACCGGCTGGCCGACAGGAACCTGGCGTCACTCCAGACCTGCTTTCTCAGCCCTTCCCAGGACACAGTTTTCTCAAAGACTGTCTTGCAAATTTGAAATGTGCTCGGATTGTCTATTATTTTTAAATAACCAGCATAAATGGGTTGAACGATTTTCTGACTTGGCACTGCAGTCAGACTAGTAAGATGGCCATAAACTGCTCCCTGTTTGGGGGTCTATTCGCTAGAAAATCGCTGACAACACCCGCACTCAGTTCTACCAAAAACACACCCTGACTGTGGCAAGCCGGTTGCCTGGGGCTCAGGGGAGAGGGAAGCTCCGGCCCAAAGCCCCCTCCGCGCTGCCAGGCAACCTGGAGGGACAGAGAAACTGACTGGGTCGGGTAAGATTTTTGAAGCCCCTTGTGAGCGGGCCATGTTTATGTAGATTTTTTTGAAGTGAGGAAGCAGGTACCATCTTTGAGAGGCTTCTGCGTTTATGTCAGTGCGGGGGATGGGGGAGGATGCTTTTTTCCCTCGGGACGGTGGCCCGAGGGGATCTGTTGTAAGACCACTTCAGGTCGAGGAAACCCCGAGTGCTGTCACCCTCGAGAGTGCCCCTGGAAGGCAGGCATCCTTGGCAGCTGGAAAAGCCCGAGGCCGTGGGAAGAGACGCAGCCCAGGCTGGAGAGCGGGGCCCTTCACCGCCTTCCACCGGCCCTGGAGCTGCGCGCTGCCCCGGCAGGGAGGCGGGGAGGCGGCGTGCGTGGTGGCCGGGCGCGGGGGGACCAGACGGCTAAGCGCTGGAGGACCACGGGGACCCTGGACGGGCTCCCTGACCGGCCCGGGAAGCAGAGGAGGGCCACGCTGTTCGTGGACGTGTCGGCTCGGCGAGGGGAGCCACCAAGGCGGACGCTGAACGGACTGCAGGGGACACGTTGAGCCCGAGGCGAAGAGCGGGGAGTGACGGAGTGTGTGTGTGTCCTTCTGGGCTGCCTGTTCCGCTCGCCCTTCGTCCGAAGTGTATACACTCGCTCGGGAGGACTTCTACTTTGTCGCGGGCTCTGCCGCAGCCCGGTGTCCGGCGCACATTCTCCGTTCACCTCTTCAGCGCTGATCTGATCGCCCCGCCGCGGGCGGGGCGCTGGGGGTGCCGCAGGGCGCAGGGCGCACACGGAGCTTGCAAGGAGGAGACAGACAGGCGGATGCAAAAGGCATGAGTGAGCTGAGCGTCTGCCAGCTTCTCTGAATAAGCAGATGTGGTAG